GGGGAAAGGAAGCTTGCATGAAATGTACCCAGATCAGGATTGGATTGAGGAGTCGACCGAGCTGACGGCAGCCAGAAAGTGGCAAAGTCCAGAAGCGCAGCGGGAAATACTGTTTCTTTCGAACAAGCCCGGAGAGCCGAAATTTGTGCGTATCATTTCACTTCGTGTCCTCCAAATCGTAATCCAAGATCATCATCCAACGAGGGCATTGCCTGACACTGTGTGAGGTCATAAAAAATTGCTCCTGGGACGGAGAAAGTACTTTGGCACAGTGACACGACGCTTGGGCTTCTGAATAGTTAGATCCCATGCATACACTGTCGGTGCTGTTTTGGAGAAATGCCAAACAAAAGGCGCTGAAGAAAACAGCCACGCCAAAATCATATGATGGGCATTGGTAATGCGCAACAGTCTGTGCATGCACCACCGATATACAGTATACTACGACATATACAGCAACTGCGTAGTCGCCGGAGTACTGGAACGATGACGTGGAAGCCAACCACCTCCACCGTGGATTGCACGGCCTAGTTTCTCTCTTTGTGTAAGGTTGTCTCCCCTCAGGGATGGATGACCTGGCTGGCATCCAGCGACGCTCTGCGCAGAGCTCTGGTGGTAAAAATTCGACCATCTTACACGGTGTAAAATTGTACACAATCTTGTTCAAATCATGCACAAATCGGGTGCTTCAGAGCACGGTTTAACACGATTGCTAAAATCGTGTAGTTTTCAACCTGTGTAGTGCACGAAAGTGGTCCACCTTACCACCATGGACAACACGACAAAGCACACGGTTTTACACGATTTCAACAGTGTACCAGCGGCAAATGCGTATTTACACGATCGGTACACGATGTTCACACGATTTTTACACCATTTTGACACGCGTAACACGGTACACGAATTCCATGACCGTGTACTTTGGCCGATTTTTTACCAGTGGAGCATACCAGAGCATGGCAAATGCAACTAGGCATGAAAGTTCCTGGGCGCAGAGGACCGATGCCGGATCACAGCGTATCATGGTCCAGGGTATCTGCATGCAGAGGTCTTGCAAGCTTTGGGTTTCAGCTTGTGCGTTTCAGTTTTTGTGCATCGTAAACTATCGTTACTAGGGTTTATGGTATTGTTGGCGTTGTCTGGTCATTTTGTTTAATGACCAATCCAGTTGGCAGACATGGGTGATAATGTGCAGCGATCGCACTCCAAGGCTTGCGTTGATTATGATGAGTGATTTCCCAACTTCAGCACTAAAAGAAATTGTGTTGTCCCTTTGCTAACACAGCTTTCAATGCTAGTAGATAAGCTCCAGATAGACTCACAACATAGTTCACTGCTATGATTTCATGCAATGACTTTTAATGGCATACAGAGGCTCAGAACAGCCAGCTGCTCATATTCAGCTGGATTTTGGACCAGCTCCCATAACAACAGGTCACCTCTAACAGAGACAATACTAAAAACAGCAACTTATCAAGAATTCGCAAAGTCACAAATAGATGGCTGGAGATCCCCAGCCAGATCGGTTCACCAAACAGCCACAAACAACAAAGCAACGCGAGTAGGGGAGTGGACATTAGCTGCCAATGCTCACACACAATAGACACACGCGCAAACACTGCAGTTGTCACTTCACACCCAAGGGGGCCATCACGCACGCACCCCGCATGGATGGTTCAGCGCGGCATCCGTCAGCACTCGGGCCTTGTCCACCACCCTCCTCGCCGTCCTCCGGGCCCGTCGCCGTGCCTGCACGCCGCTCTTGGGCGCTGCAGGGGGCATCCTGCGCACCCGGGGGCCTGCGCCTCGCAACGATGTGGCCGGCGTCCTAACGCCCACCCCACGGCCCGCCATACGGCACCCCCTGGCACGCAGGGGCGTCAGAAGCTGTGCGACGGTCACTTGGTACGGCCTACCCCATAGGGTGACTGGTATGGTGCCTACAACCCGGCCTTGAGTTGGAGCATTGACAGGCACCCAAGAGGGGGAGCTACTCGTTGGGCCTCCCCTCTTCGAAGAGCTTTTGCCACACCGCCGCCCATGCGGTGGTAGAGGGATGGAGAGCCATGGCCGGAGTTACCGGCCAAGATCACCAAGTACACTATGTACTATGTGCCCAAGCAAAATACGGTTATTCTAAACTGTAGCACTTTTTCAATGCTGTACCAAAGTATGCAAATTGAACGAGGTGAACCCACTCCTTTTTCAGGAGTTGTTTGGTGGCGCACAAATCCCTTTTTCAGGGACCAAGCGTGCACCATTTTCAACCAAATATGATACATGCTTTTGCAACATGTTTTGCCTCAAACCAGTCCCAAAACCAGCTAACAGAATCCAATTTGTTCTTCAGAAACTGATCCTGCAACAACTCACAATCTCATAGATCCTTTCTCAAGAGCAACACCTCCAATTCCAGCTCAAAGCATGTTTCTCAAGACGTCTTTTGGGCAGTTTGAAAACTGCGCCTTTCCCGGCTCATTTCCTACTGCCCAATATCCCAAATCCCTTTTTGAGGCATAAAACGACGATACAAACTGCCAAATTCCTTTTCCAGGATTTCAGAATGCTATCTCAGCTTTCTCCCAAACTGTTCTTTTTCTACTTTCTTATGAAAATTCCAGCCCCGCCACTTGCTCAGTGGCATTTCGCAATCGCCGTATCATGACCAGCACCCAGTCCACCTATGGGTGCTCTGACAGGTCCAAAACTCTTTGTTCAGGAGTTTTAATCATATCTTGTACTTTTGCAATCTTCATTTCCTTTTCTCTTTACCTTTTGCATGTCTTAGCCCCCGTCATTTATTCGGCAGGATTTCTGAGCACCATGACGAACTCAGTGTCTAGGACCGCCGAAGAATGGGCAGGTTGGGCAAAACACCAACTCAACCCCCTGCCGAGGCAAGAGACATCCCAACATAGTTCTTGGGGGCCAAACACCTGACCAACACAGCCCAGAACATTTGTTCTGTAGCCGCCAAACCAGACTCTACCCATAGCTGGAAAGGGACATCAGCATAAGGGATCGAATCTGTACAAAAGCGACGTGATGAAACGGCTAGCATGACAGCCAGCGCGTTCATTTTCTTCACAGCAGTATTTTCGTTGTGGGTGACTGATGAATAAACGAAACAATGCAACCTTAACTTGGGGTAGTCTGCCCTGGAAAGAGCCATCAGGTGTGGGCCTAAGCTTTCTGCCTTGCATGATGTCTTTTAGCCTTTTTTAGGCCAGAAGCCTCTTAGCCGGGAGTGAGTGGCTTTGAGAACAAACAGAGATATGCCCAAGCTGGGCAACTTCCTCATCCAAGATGCACTGCTCCACCAGAAATTGAGAGCCGCGGTCAATATTGGTGAGGCAGCTTTCACTGAATGCTCTTAACGCATAGGATTTTGCTCAGTCGCCACCAAGCCCCCTTGAGGCTAAATTCCTCTCGGTTCTCGTGACCAGCTTGCTATACTACTAAAAGCGCAAGCACTTGACCAGTTTTTGTTTCTGTTCTTTTTTTTCCTTTTTCTAGTCGGTGGTGGCATACTCAGGCCATCCCACACAGTCAAAACATGTGTCAGACGTGAGTCCCTCGCTAGCTGAGTCATAAGCGATCCACCCAGTGACACGGTGGTCATCATGCAGCTGCGCGAACAGTGTTCAAACCTTGTACCCTTAGGAACCTGCCTGACTTTCGCACCTTTAAAAAAATACAAAATGAAAATAAATAGGAAGCTGACGGCTACCTCACTGCCTTGTTTTGTTAAAAATGTCGATGATGATGACTTTTCGCACCTAGCAATGATCGGCATCCGACACACTGCATCCCTCATGCCTCGCGTCTTGTAATAAGTCCAGTAATGAAAATGCATCTGGATCGTCTGGACAGACGACAGACCACAGCAATTTTTCGATGCATCCGGGAATGTACCTGTGTACCTTGCGAATGTACCTGTGTGAAGTCACAGCGTGAACAACACGCAGAGTACCGGCTCCATTCTGGGGCCACAAAGGACTGCAACAGAGGTCTCGTCCTTTAGCGGACGACCTGCAGCACGGCTAGGCGAGTATTTTCTGTGCAACACATTTCCATCAAGCACACTCACGCCCAAAATGAATTCGTGTATTGAACTGGGGCTAGAACACCAGATGTGTGTTCCACTATGCATCACACATGGGGCCGCACCCCGACATGGTGGGTCGCTTCCCATGGCTCGCCTTTTCTTTACCTTGCGGGACCACTCGAAAGGAAGGATCGTGCCCCATCTGGCACGGCTTCAACACCCACAAGTCCATTCCTGGCAGCGTTCTGACGACGAACCATCCCTTGGGACAGCACAAACCGTGCGAGCGAGCAGCACCTAATGCGCGCCTTCTGCACTTCGCCTCTCCTAACACTCACTGTCTCGAACGTTCTCAACACCTTCATAACATTGCTGGAAGAACGTAAAGGTCCAGCGCGCGAACCCCCCAAGGAACATACACCTCAGCAGTACATGAATATTACAACACACACTAACCGTCTCATAGTACACACGCTCCTACCGCCCAATCCCCGCAGAACCACCCCTCAGAGTAAAAATCGAACGACCACACCCGCCACAGCCTCTGGGCGCCTCACCCGCCACCAAAACAGATCCCCGCTGCATGCCAGGCGTGCGTGTTCCGCTGATACATTCGTTATTCTCCAGTTACAGTTTCTCTCTTAGGCTTGGGAACACTTCTCTTTCCGAACTCTTGCCTGAATGGTATGCGCGCCCAAAAGGCCCCGCCCCCTTTCCTGCCGTCCTGGCTTTGGGTGACCGCTTCAAATTGCCCAGCCGGAATACCAGCCTGCCAGCCACACTCTGCCTCCACATGCCCTTCGACTGCAACCCACAGTCACAGCCTGCCCCAAGCTCCTTGCCTCTAACGAGGTCCAAGAGAAGCACCCAACCAGCGCCAGGCCCTGCGCCCCTCGCTGTCTGCATCCAAGACATTTGAAGCGCATGCCCTCTGTTGCTGAAACTGAGGTGGTCAGTTGTTTCCGGCATCAGGCATGGGTGCGTAGGGGATGGGGCGCCCAGGAGGCTGGTACGTCGAGGGCACCTGAGCGTTCACAAACCCAGGGTGATCCATCTCGGCCTCAGGGTCCAGGGACAGGACGCCATCGTAGCCCGGACGACGGCCCATCATCTTCCCAATCTTGTCCGTGGATGTGTGCACCATCTGCTCCAACTGCACAGCACAGACAATGCATCATTAGCTGTCACAACCCTATCCCCTCAAGTTCAACGCCTTCACTGCCACTTGCTCCGCAATGTTCTAAAAAAAGGCATCACTGAGGCAGGTAGGGTACAGCCGGCATGCCTATGCGACATAATTGGGGATGCCGACTAGATGGGGCATCTTAGGGGAATTTCGTAACAGTATTGAACAAACAAGATTCTGGGTCACTCGATTGTGTGGCTCCACAGAATTCATTCTCCACCTTGCCATTTTCACCCCACTGCCATGAATCGCTGTGAGGCAGCGCTTCATTACACAAAGACCCAATGACAGTTGGGATACTGCAATCTCATGCTGATGGTTTTCACTCCAAGCATTTAACATTGTACTTTAATTGTGCTTTAATGTGCTTTAAAACAATGGCCAATTCTGTCCAGTCCAGTTCATCTTTCCCTTACCTGGGGGAAATGTTCATAGAAGTACTCCCTCTTCCTGTAGGCCACCGCTGCCACGACGATTATCCCAACCACCACCATGCCCACAAACAACATCGTCCATCCAGCGCCAGACCTCCCAGTGCCAGGTCCTACGCAAACAACACCGCGCATCAGAAGGAAGCATACACAATATGCTGCTTGCAATAAATTCCTATCCCACAGGCACAGAGCCTACCCTCACTGCCCAACCACTGTGCGTAATGGGGGCAGACTGGACCAGAAAACACTGGCATACATTTCGTAGTGTACACAATCTTGTTCTGATACTAAATCGGTGAACATCGTGTATCAGCAGTGAACGCCATGTCAACTAAATACCTACATGATCATGATATCTCTCAACTGTTTTCTTGCTGTCATATTCACAGCCAAGAACAGGGCTCAATTCCCTTTTTGAGGTATGTGCCTCTGGAACGACATTTCGACCAAATCAGAGTTCAGGCAAGGGTGGGAGCCCTGCACGCATTTTGTTTCGTCAGAGTGTCCGTCTCTCACCATTTCTCGTGCACTTTGAGGGGCTGGTCGGGGTGCACACAAATCCGTCTTCAACCATGCAGGCCTTGCTGCAACCGTCCCCATTCTCCTGGTTTCCGTCATCGCACTTTTCTACCCCCTCCAAGATTCCATTTCCACACCGCATCATCCATCGCATCACCTGGATTCAGGCCAATAGGCAGCATCAGTGGCCTGTGCTGGAGGCCACTCGCACATGGCAGCCAGTTGCATTGATTCCGTTCCCATCCAGCGGCAAGACTCAGGAGGGGACGCTTGCGATTACCACAACCAGGACGCAGTACAGATTGGACAACATCAAGACAACCAAAACAAGGCTACAAGAAACAAGAGACAAAGACACTAACGATGGGGGGCTCAGCCATGGGCAAACACAATTCTGCAGCCCTGCAAGGGAACAAGCCATGAAGCCTGTGATGGCACATCCATGGCATGGGGAGTGCAGAACTGCAGTTTACACATCGCCACCAACGAGGCAATTAAATCTAGGCAAATGACATGACTTGACAGAATACAGCACCTTGTATCTCCTGGAGAATGTCGGGGTGACATGCAAAGAGGTGAACAAACCTCATGTCACTGCCGTCCCAGTGACAGTCAGTGTTGCAAAGGGAACATATACAGTTTAGCTCAAGCAACAGCACGGAAATGTACAGGATTCGCCCTGTGGCAACACCTTCGAGGGCCACTTGTGTGGACACGAAGTGTGCCCGCATACAATCCCACACAAACAAACAATCTAGAGAGAGGTGAAAAGCACACATAAAGAAAGCAACCACCTAGAACAAATGTAATCAACAACAATGAAGGCAAGCATGCAACACCACACCTCCATAGCAACAAAAGCAGTGCTGCAGGTGAAAGGTGTTTTGCAAAGCAATGATCAACACCAAACATGAAAGCTTCACAGCAAATAATACACACCATCCAGTCTGGCTCCTCCATGATATGCAGGTGGTTCTGCCTGGGTGTCTCATCATGAACGATGTATCCAGCGCCCTCATCGAACTTCCAGTAGGAAACAAGATTGCGGTCCTTGGGGTTGATGAAGTCGTTTTTCTTTCCAGAGCCATTGTCCTGGTCTGCCAGCATCCCCTTGTAGATCTCCTCTGGTGTCCTCTTTACCTTCCAGATTCGGACCTGGTCCATCACGCCGAAGAAGTCCTGGGCGCCATACTCAAGCTCGATCCAGGGCTGCACATCACCAGCAGCTCCATATCGCGAGTCAAAGCACCCGCCGAGGCAGTCCTGCGACAGAGCAACGAAATGGTAGGATTGTATGGGCATAACACGTCAGGGACAGCAGCTTATGGTCGCAAACAGCGCTCCACATCGCCTGTTTTAGGAGGCAGGGGGCAGAAGCTGCTGCGATGCCACATGCACAAAGCACGCTTTGCTCAAGATGACGCCCACGCTGATTTGTTTTCACTAACCCAGAGAAGCCCCCAAGGCCCCCTCTTTCTTTCCCTTCCCCTCTCCCTCTCCAAACCCCTTCACCCTTCACTACTGCATACCCAGCCGACTCGCAATCTACGGAGCTGCTGGCTTGCTGACATTTGACTCCCCCACCCCACTATACACACACACATACACACACCCCACTATACAACTGCGCTGAGGACCCAAATGCAACAGCATCTCCTTGCTCACTGGAAAAGTCCAGCAGGGAGACACACAGCAATGTGAATGAGATGCACCAAGAATGCTCGATCGATGCTTGAAACAAACACATATTGTGCTGGGCACTTGTTGCAAATGCAGGTCGTTGTGCCAAGAATCTGGCTGGATGCATGTTATGGACTCGGACAACCCTTGAGCATGCATCAAGGCCCCCAGCGCAAATGCCTGTGACCTCTCCCCAGCACACAATCTTGTTTCTATTCCATGCAGAACATCAAGTTTTGAGGCAAGTCGCACTTTATGAGCAGTGGTTGCCAAGGATAGCATCAGAAACAACAGCATGGATGCGCCCCATGCATGTCTTTCGAGTATTTCTGCCATCGAGGCGCAGGCCAATCTCGACAACACATCAATGCTGGAATCCTTTGGCCCGATCAGCAGTCCATCCAGTCCTTTGGTGTTGAAGTTTCAGGCAACGTACCAAAGAGATCACGTTCAGAGCAACAAGACTCCAGCAACAACTGAGTGCCGTAGATCTCACCTGTTCGCGGCCAAGGATCAGCGTGCCTCCTGGTGGTATCTTCTTGTTCTGGGCCCTCTTGACCATCCAGGCCTGCCGCCCATTGTCGTACAGTGACACCTCGCCACTCGCGCTCTCCCACGTGACCGCGATGTGATGCCACTTGCCATCGGTTGCACCAAACCCGGCATTGTGGTCGTCGATGTTCCCCTCCTGCTCCATGATAGACACGCCCCAGTTGTTGTAGTTGAAGATCAGGAATGCATTGTCCATCTTTTCATAGTCGCCATGGGCATAGGAGAATGGCACGCCCTGCCAGCAGGTGTCGATGCTCCACATCCAGAACTCCACGGTGATGGCATCCTGGGGAAAATCGAAGAAGTCCTGCTTGATGAGGACCTGCTTGTCGTGGACCTTCATGGCGTAGCCAGAGTAACCGGGGCTCGGGCCGTCCAGGGGGCTGAAATTCCTGTCGGTGAGGGGTGCATACGAGTATTCGTACGATGGCCCGATGGAACCAAGGATGAGCTTGTTCTTCTTCTTGTCTACACACAAAAGCAGGAACAATGGCAAAAACAGTCAGAAAGCGCATGAAGAAGCAAACAATAGTGAAACAATAGAATCCTGCTCGCAAAAGTTTGTGATGGTTTAACTCGGTGTGGATTCAAATTAACAGTCTCATGACTGCCCGGTTGAGCCTGGGATAGGTTTGTTTTTCATACTTTCAAGCATGGCAAACTGCATTCCCAGCTGACTGCATTGGACTTAATTTGGGCCTTGGCAGTTCTGGGCATTGTCTTCTAAACATTTTGTGTGCAGTTAGGTGCCAGTCACTGCCTTGCTGAGGCAAACGCCTTGCTGGATCAAGAACTGTCACTGTCTAACATATGTATTTATGAAAGAGCTGTGCGAATTTAGTAAGTGGAACATTTTAAACTGCCCATGAAAGGAATTACATAAGGTGTGGTCAAGATGGGGGCTCTTGCAAAGGAAACAGGCTGTGAATGCCTTCAGTTTCATCATACGAAGTTTGAATGATATCAAGTGCTATACAATGTCCTTACAGAAGTGATACATGACTCCAATCCTGCACTCGCACAGCAACCCTGAGCTGGACTCATTCTTGGTTTGCCTTTTTGATGATGTCACAAGGGGCAGAAGCACATCGACAACAATGTAGACGCAACGCGACGCCGGGTGCAGAAGCAGCAACACGGAAACCACAGCCCTCCAGGGGTTCCAGTGACACGATGATAACACTGTAGTCTCTTTGATGATTTTGTTGCCCTTTTCATGCTTTGGATCATAGGTACACTGGCCATGACTGGCGAAGACTAAGTTCAGGAGAAACAAGACACCAGTCGTGCTGGGCTAACTGCGAGTGGCAGTTCGGGTGGGGCCACGATGACTTTGAATGGGATATACGTTGAGTAGCACAGAAAGGAAGAGAATTTCCTTAATATGGGAGTTGTGCAGGCAAGGACGCACACAGAGCACACAAGATATCTGCACTCACTGTTCATCTCAAGGACTTCCAGATCTCTGTCACTGTCGCCCTGGATCCTGTCACGTTTGAAGGTGTAGCTCAAGGCCAACCCAGAAGCGTCAACAGGGTCGTTTACAAACATGTTACGCTTAATCTGATCGATATCCAGCACACGATTCCACACCCTCAGATTCGCAAGGTATCCATCGTACGCAGTCCCTGGAGAGAAGCAGCCCCCAAAGCACTCCTGGTTCTGTACACACCACAATTTCCTAAGACCGCTGGAATCACATTATCAACTCCAAATGTCGCAAACCAGTACAAAGCCAGCACATAGATACATGTCTTGCTTGCCCTACTAACAGCACAGCACGCAGCTCATGCCCATACCCGTCATAGCTGCAAGCATGGTTTGAAAGGCTCAGCTTTGCAAGCCATATGCAGGAGAGCAGACAGCAGCACAAAAACAACAAGAAAACACAGAATCAGAGCATGTGTTATACCATTACATTGGCATACACTTCCTTCGGCGACAATATTCGTACTACACACAAGTACATATAACACGACAAGCAATAGTTCTAAAAGTACTTCATGCGTATCATCCTTCAACACCATACTTCATTCATCCGCCACACATATCACTGGAAGCACAACCCATCAAGAATTCAATCGCAATTCTGTATGCCCTCCAAGACACAGACAAGGCGGCCAGCAAGCAGGTATGCTGGGCAGTTGTCTGGAAAAACCAGTGCGAATGCCTCTGGGAATGGCCAACACCAGAAGGCCAAAAAGCCGAATTCGCAAGGGCACTCAAAACAATCAACAACAGTACGAGTGCGTGCCGTGTACCTGTCCGAGCACCAGAGATCCGGTGGGAAGCCTCTCAACTTTCTGTGCGATACTCGGGTTAACCCCTCCCAAGTTAGGATCCTGGTCGGTGACCTGCCCTGCTGCTGACCTCCAAAACGGCGTGTACGAGTCGCCATCAAAGAACAGCTGCACATTGCCAGTGTCATAGTCCCATGTGACAGCGACGTGATGCCAATCATTGTCCGTCCTAGGCAGCAGCAACATCCACCACAACCCTCACAGCCTTCACAAGCCAAGGCTTGCATGGACAGTGGCGCCCGCTGGGACTGTTGCTGGCGATGAAGGAGAGCCAACGCTATCCCAAGGCAGCCCAGCCCAGCCCAGCCCGAAAAACACCGTAGCAGCATGAACGCGGCATGGCCACGAAAATGTGTTATATATCAAGAGCTGGTAACAGAGAAAAAAAGGGGTGGGGTCTGGGTTGGGATGGGGGGTAGGGGGAGGTATTGACACTGCGATGACTATAGGATGCAACAAACACAACAGTTTTCGCATTGTTCTATGAAGAGAGGAAAAATTGTCAAATCAAATCGAAAAAAAAATATGGCACGCTCACCACAGAATAAGGTCAGAGCAGTGCCATGCCTCCTAGTGGCATCAAACATACCATGAACAATCACACGGCTCTTGCCCAAAAGTACACAGTGGTTTACGACACCACAATCATAGGGTACAACACCAGCCACTGACTAGCAGATGGCTGACTGCAGTTTCAGTCAAATGGCCACAATTTCAAGATAACTGCACACCCACATAGCCTTGTCCTCCCCAGCGTTCATCTGCAGATGAATACTGCTGGTGGGCAGTTGATGACTTGCAGGTCTCCAGGCTCACGGCATCAACAAATAACATAAATCAACCATTCAACTAATGCATTACTCAATTAACCAAGCAAACGAATCAATAGAACAAATGAGCAACGAATGGACAGCAAACCATCGCCCACAATCATACACTGCAAATGCAGGCGCGCACTTCACACCACCTGCAGCTCACCATTCTGTGGCAAAATCCACCCAGTTGTTGGCGTGGCGCCCATTGCCCTGGCGATTAGCATTGATGTGCACCGAGATCGCACCAAGCGTGCTGATCTTCGTGTGCTTGAGATACTCGCTGTTGTTGAACTCAGTGAGGTAGCGCTCTATGCGTATGGCATCGTCCATGAACACCGTGTCCGCCAGCCCATTATTGTTGTTGATGTTCCCATCTCCCTTGGACTGGGTGGCAAAAGACACGAACTCTGCATAGCGCTCATTGGACACAGAGTCCTTGGGGTGGCTGTCTGCCAGCACAGTCTTCGCCCAGAACTCCACTGAGATAGATTTGGTTGGCATATTCTCCTGGAGATCGGGCACAGCAGGAACAGGCACATCACAGCTGGATGGTGCTTTGCAAAACGAGTTGGGGAGGTGTCAAGAACAATCTGAAAAGGCAGGTGGTTGGCATGTGGCGCATGCAAATAGTTGGCATCGCAGTACAACAGCAGAACAGGTGCAGAGGCACCGCATTGCAGAAAATATGGCAGAACATTGTGTTCAAAGTAGCGGGCTCGATAGGGAGAGCCCACGCTTGCAGCACTGTCAGGGTTTGTCTGTCTTTCCCTGAAGGGTGTGGGCCATACGAAAAAACTGCACAAGTGATGGAAGAATTGCCAAAGTGTTAGAGCCGCACTGCAGCACCGAATTGGAAGCAGCAGAAACAGCATGCATGCGGCACTGGCAAGAGTTTAAATCCTCGCAAACACCTCAGCAGCAGGCACCATCCTGGCTGTCACAGCTGCTGTGCTTAGTGGCCTACAAGCCTGCACAGTGTGCACCACCACACAGTCCCCACTGCTTCTGAAGCCAGAACAAACACTGCCTGCACAAGTGAAACAAATGGCATCCATGCAAACCCACTCTCAACGTACAATTGTGGCTCTTGCATAGCTGTTCTTGAACTTGAGCGCCCCAGCAATCAACTCCGTAGGCTTGCCATAGATCTGCACGAAAAAGTAACACGATGACACTAAGTACTGTGCAGTCTAGCTGTGCAGGGCTAAGCCCCAGGCAGCACACAGCCACCTTATTCATATGGCTCCCAAGTGCTTTGGACGAATGTTGCACACTTACAGGAGCATGTTCTAACAGAAACACAAAAGGTGATTCAGAGACATTTGCTACAGATACAGCACCATGCTATCAGCATGTTCTGTGTGCTGCTCCATTTGTCTTTGCATCAGCACTTCCTACACTGCATGTCCCAGTGCCACAACAGGTGCACTAGTAAAGCAGCGCAGCATGGCTTCAGTGTGCTGTAGTGACACACCGAGCAGGTTAGTGCACCAAGTGCGGATTAATTCAAAGCATATACCTCTGATAAACATTGGTGCTACACTGGAAAGTCAGAAATACATGATTTGGGGCATTGCTCCACTGCGAGTGGAAGAAATGTCACATCAAGCAAGTCAAGCAAGTAACCATGCACATAAGCAGCCAGTGGTATTCCTCACATCCTTGCCCACGATCGGCATGTCTTCATTCGCTGGTGGCGTTAGGAGATCAAGATGATTCTCGTTCCCACTGACGTCATGAGTGAAACCGCCTTCATCCAGAGTTTCTGCATTCAGAACACACAAAGGCAGTCGAGTCTTTGCTGCAAGCTTATGCAACGGTGAACTGCAGTTGCAGCGTTTGACAAGGTCAAAATGGTCAGCAATGACCTAAACAACTTTGCTTAGAAGTACACACAAACACAGATCAACGACCACGCAGAATGGACAATCAACTGCTCACTGGATCATCAAGGGAATCTTCTTGCAATCAAGGTGCAACCGTTTGTGCCCATGCTGTCAGATACGCTGGGATATGGCAGCATTTCAGGATATAGCGCCACATTAATTTACAATAAACAAACAGGGGGGACAGAACATCAGTGGCTACTGTTGGCATCTTGCTGATAACTGGTTGGTTGGAAGACGCAACATATTAGACTGGCATGCATGCGACACAGGGCAGTAAATTCTCACACTGACGGATGCTTGCAACTGCTCTGGATTTTGCACTGCGACACGTGCCAGTGTACAAGATGCAAGGCGACTTACCAACATCATCGAAATTCCAGTAGGAAACCAAGCCATTGCGATCTTCCATGTCGTCATACCCCTCTGCATCAACAAACGAACAGCTTGAGGAAGCTGCTGAGAAGGTGCCTAAAGTAGCACAACATGCACACAACAGGCCAGCAGTTGTGGGCCATTGGGGAACAAATGCCCATTGTGAATGCGCACGTGCCCAAAATGGCCTGCGGGTTACCAGTACACTGTTTGGATTGTGGCACAACAGGCCATCAGTGGGCTTACACAATCAGGTGCGTTCCCCGTTAACACAGGCTCTCGCAAAAGAAGTGAAAAGCATCCTCAACAGTACTCAGCTAACCCACCAAGAGAACAACCTAGGCTCCTACTGTACAAGGGAATGTACCAGCACACGAATAATGACAGAGTTCTGACCCCACAGGCTTTTGTGCTGTGAGCGGGCCCTGTTGCCAAGGCTCCAGCACCTACTGGCAGCGCAGGTTGCACAACACAATAATCTGCTCATGTACTGTATCAATACAAACACCATTGCATCTGCCAAGTTACATGTATTCAAACCTGACTAGGGCAAACAATAGATCCGCTACACACTTTCCAACTTCCTGTTGAGTGCTGTCCTCACAGCAAATCGGCATACACTGTGTTCAACCTGAATCCTTGGGAGACGCATTGCCCTAACTGGGAGAAGGCGGAACCCAGGCACATACTTCTCATGTCATTGATGATTTGCGTTTGGTTGCGGACAACCTTCCAGACGCGAACCTCATCCATGAAGCCATAGTACCCCTGGCGAGGGTCAGTGCAGCCTCCATAGCAGTCCTGGTGAGTGGCAAGCACAGCAGGCACTCAGATTCCCAAAACTATGCAACAAAAAGCAAAGTCGCCCTGAGAAAACTGAGAGGACCAGTTGACAAAGTGACAAGCTGTGATGAAGATTGCTGTGCACCCGCTTCCAGGGCTTGGGCACCGCCTTGTAGTCTTCATCCACATGCGTTGAACATGAAAGCTGTAGCAAGGACTGCAAAGGCGCTTTAACTAACCATCAGCGCATGTCAGCACACACGTTCAGCTTCTCTGGAGAGGCCCTCTCGACTTGGACAAGGCCACTCAGACTTGCAGGTGCAGGAGCCACGTTTTGTCACTCTCTGAAGACCATCATCTAGGATTCATGCGCAAGTGCCAGCTTCCTTTTTCTTTTCGTTTTTGGTAAGTACCAGTTTCTCACCTGTTCCCCACCCAGCATAAACGAACCATCTGACACCAGGGGGTCGGTCTTGTCTGTTACTGCCTTTGCGACTGCATGCACCACACAGGGGGATTCAGTTGCCACTCGGTTGTCTGCAGCACGACAAAGGACAAGCAATATGCACATTGATTCTGGAGGATACCTTCCTGGTGACACATCTGTGTTCAAAACCAGGCTGTGAAATCATGTGGCGTCTTAGAATGCAAAATCCACTGACCCATTTTCTGCACTGCTGTTTGTGCTGAAATGAATTTCTTAGTCCCCTGATTCTTTCATATATTGGAGCGCCATCGTGTCGAGTTTCATGTGCTGGGATAAGGTAATTTGGATTGGAAAACACGCCCATTGCTGGCCTGAAGGTGCAAGGGCAGCACTCCATCATTTGCAAATCAACACACAATGCCATAGTGAGCATCGTGGCATGGTGCAGCCCACACAATGGTATATTAACCGCCTGTCTTCAAGTGCTAGGATACATCTAGCAAGCTCTTGGTTGCACACAACGTTCATCCAACCTGGCTTAACAGTTTACGACACTTCTAGTATGTTTAATGTACTTCTAGTACATTCAGTGTACCATAATTTGCGGTACAACACCAGGCTGCACCACCTCGGCACAAACCTTACACCAGCACATCTGAGCGCCTCAGTGAAATGAGCTCACGTTTGTGTAAATCTGAATAAACACTTGCACATAGGCTGGTTCCCTGGCATATTCCGTGCGCCTCCTCACATATAAGTGGTTGGGTGCCACAAACAGAAGAGGTGTGCCCCTTGCACAGAGGCTGGGCCACACCAGACAAAAACCTTTGCTGTCCATCTTTTCCACTGTTACACATACAATTGGGCAACATGGCGACTTGGCATCTTCACAACAATCTCAGTCATTGCTGCGACACGAATCGAAATAAAAAAATGATATTCCACACATTTCTGAGCCGTGCAAGAAACACCACCAGGTGTGGCAATCTTTGTGGTCTCCGCTATCGCAATGGACAACAAGTCACACTTCTTGCCATGTGTACCCATTCACCCCTTGCAGCACACTCTGCACGAATGCCCCGAATGCCAGCAAATTCAACAGAATCGAACTGCTGGAAAATTGAAACCTGTTATGCTGACCTCGCCACAAGGGCAGTTTTCAGGCACTCTTCAACAATTGCCATAGAAGGATTCGCACAAAGCAAACCAGCATCGAAAGGGCAGTCCCTGATGACCCAACAGCAGCAGTTCAAACTCACCAAGGAGTCCATCCTGGTAAATCTGTGTCAGCCCTCTCTCTGCAGCGCTCCAGGTCACCGCAATGTGGTGCCAGTCTCCAGTTCGGCTCAGAAAGGTGGCTGTGGTTGGGGACGTCGCGTCCTGAAAAGCGGCAACACACATACACACAAGTCAGCAGGATCAGCAGTTGCTAGAAGCCAAATCACAGGACAGCTACAGATCAGCAAGGTCACAGAGATCTTGCCATCCTTATGTTGATATGAACAGTGAGCCGTCAACAAACAATCTTCAGTGAACCCTGCCATCGTTGCTGCCAAGGTGCAAAGGCAGTGATTTGTCAGGCCTTTCTGGCACATGCCCTCAACTGGGTCAAGCTATCCCTCTTACATGTAACCAACAACGTGATCATTGCGACTGCTTCAGCCTTCTGCTACAGGGAGGAAGCCCTCCATCCATCCTGCTGGCTCCATTTCAAGAGCATTTGCAATTTGCCTGATTCATGTACATTCAAGAACACTGCAGGAAGACACACAACTGCAGCAAAGTCCCGAGCCCTTGCACACTGTGCACACTGACCACATGCCAGCCAGCTCCTGCCCCCACTACAGGCTCTCGAGTCACGGAACATACGCAGCTCAAGGCTGAAACACGATTTTAGGTGATGTCCAATCATGACATTTCCAGGTCTCTCCCATCGCACCCAGCTGTCCAACTAGCCAGCACCGAAAGCCTCTGCAGTAAACAGCGGGAGACCAGTCGACCACACTCACCAAGCCCAACCCCTCGTCACCATATCTTGAGTGGCAGCTCTTACGCTCCAGATCTGAGGCGACGAGACAGAAGAAAGTCAGCACAAGAAAACCACAAACTGATTGGCCACAGAAACCTTGCACACACAGAAGATGGCACCCACAGCAGCAGCACCACCCTGGATTTCATCCAATATCTTCATTTCTTGTGCCTCCGTCAGTATGTGCTGCAGATGGGTGGCACGCGGACAAACATGAAGGGATAAGGGACACAATACAAAAGAAATGGATGTACACACGCCTGCAACTGCCTGCAAGGCGCAAGGACACCGCTTTCCCTTCACAAGGCAAAACAATGACAAACAAACAATAACAAAGGAATTCAGGACAACAACACGCGGGCCCAACAGTCGAGAGCTGGACCGGCGGGGAGTTCAAAGGAGTGGCGCTTCGCGCTTAGGGCTGGGACGCACCTGGGTTGTAATCGATGTACTCGAAGTCGTGGCAGGCCAAAACGTTCTGTGGTTGAGACAGCCGCAGGCGGCGTCAATGCTTGCGGGCGAAAGCTTTGAGACAAAAGGGCAAGCAGCATGCGGGGTCCGAAAGACAAGCGAAGTGGTTGAAATCCTGCGTGCGCTGGTGCTCGTTGGTAGATGTGGAGTGCTTGGCATACGACATGATCGCACCTGGCGCGGTGGTGGAGAACAAAGTCAGCCGTCGTGCGGAGCGGCGGGCGTGCCATTCAGAGCCTGGGAGGCAACGGATAGGGAGCGCCCCGAGCGCCCCAGCGGCGCGGCCAGGATTCCAAAGATGGCGAGGAAAAAGATGGCCCAGCGAATCGCCCGTGGAATGTCCTGGAAGGAATGGCATTTGGGGTGGGGTGGGGGGGCGGGGTGGGGGGGTGGAAGCGATTGGCCGGGGCGTCCTTGCGGAGAATGCGCCTGGCACTCTGGGAGCGGGGGAAAGTGAACGTGGTTCCCGGATCGGGTGGGCGAGGGCGGGGCGGGGAATGGCCGCTCGGTCGCGATCCCCGACGACGCCCGACGACAACGGTGCACGAGGACTGGCGAGGGATGCCCGACTGGGAAAAGGGGGGGGGAGCGGGAGGCGCACCCCTGTGGCACATGTCCGACGTGCTCAGCCACGCCTCGAAGGTCAACTCCGTGGACGGGAAATCCTGCGAAAGAACGCGGGGGGCGGAGTGCCTGTGTGAGAGGACGTGCGCACTGAATGAGGCGAGAGAGACCGACCGTGGCGGGCGCGGTGGCGCCGCGGGGCGGCCCGGGGGACGGCAGGGGGCGGGGGGCCGCGCACCTTGAAGTCGTTCTTGACGATCACGTTGTCGTGGAAGAGGAGCGCGTAGCCCGCACCCCCAGCGGCGGACGGCTGGTGGAACGTTGGGTGCTGGTAGGACAGGCCGCCTGGACCGCCACAGGGCACACACAGCCGCGGACCCGCTCAGACGCGGAACGGGAAAATGCGTGAATTGTCGGAAGCCAACACGGCGGTGCGCCCCAAGAGGGGTGGGATCGCCCAAAAGCTCCCGACACCAGGGCTCGTCGGCTTGCCGCGCACAACCGGCGGATGCCCAACTCCAGGGCTGCCCGCCGATCGGCCACAGCCGAGATTCAGCCCTTGTCGGGCCATCACCGACCGAGCGGCAAGCGGATCGCCCGCGCGGCTCCGGCCACGCAGCGCGCCGCGCTGCCGGCCTCGTCGAAGGCCCTCGGACGGGCCACTTTCCTTCCAGCCCTCCGGCGACCTCCCACGCGCATCATCACACGGGTGGCAAACCGACTGCCCAGCCTCCCCGCGCTGACACCCCAATCCAAACCTCCGACACTTCCCGGCCCCGCCACTCGAAACTTAATTCGACCACAGCGCCCTTCCTGGTCGCTTCACGATCCCTCCAACCGCTGTCCCCGAGACATAGCAGGCTGGCAGCGCCTTGTCCACTCACCTCGAATCGCCCCAGCCGCGAGCAGCAGCGCGATCGCCGCCAGCCACGGCCGCACAACCGTCGCGCCCATCTCTCCAAGCCCGCGAGGCGCTCCTCCGCGCCCAGCACGCCCGCTTGCACCCCTGCCGCGCGATACAAGGGGCCCAATCCCTAGAGGAGCGGGCGGCAATCCGACTCAGAAATCCCGCGCGCTGGCCGGAGGGGCTGGGCGCGGCGCTGGGCAGGCGACGGGGGGCGGCGGAGTGGCGGGGAGGGGGCAAGGGGGTGGTGGCGAGGGGCAGTGTGGCCACAACGAGCAGACGGTCGGGCGCCGTGGCCGCCACAAGTGGGGCGGGGCGGTGCTGGGCCGGAAACCGGGCCTCGATGTGACCGGACGCAGTGCCGGCCCGGAACGACCCGGTGTGATCCGGCACAAGCCTCCCCTCACGCGCAGCAGGGAGAGGGCCGATGACTAATGAGGTGACCGGACGGGGAATGACTAATCGGGCAGCGTTGGGGTAGGCGATGGTGGCGGGGCGGGGGTCCTGGAGGTTGACGTCGTCGTGGGCCCTTGGGGGTGTCGGGTGGGGAATGTGGGGGGAAGGCGGGGGGTTGATGATGAGGGGCGGTGATGGGCGCGGCAGCTGCGGGGATTGGTGGGGAGCTGGATTGTTGGACATTAGTAGGTGCCTCCGTCCATCGACCAATACATCATTTGTTGAATCCTTGTTGAATTCGCACCTGTACCCTTCAATGAGCCCATCATTGCGGAATGAGAAAATGGGGGTGCGGATCTCCCAGCCGCTGGCGCCGTGGTCGTTACGACTGGCCGTGCGAGCTACACTCCAGCCAACCGCTGAAAGTGCCAAACAACTTCAGCCCGTTCGA